TGAGTGAAAAGCCAAATTTTTAAGTTGTCACATGAATAGGAATAGAGGGTAAATCTTCCAACTAGGGATGTCCTGATACCATTTTTTTCAAAACCAAGTAGAAGGGGGTTCCTGATGAGAAGAATTCTCATAATGTGAAAAGGGCTCCTAATGGAAAGGGAACAGGGGGCTTCTGATGTTAAAGGAGGGGACTACGTAAAAGTGGGGGGATTCTGGTGTTCAAGAGGGCTCCTGATGTGAAGGGGAACTTGTGGTGTGAAGGAAGAACTATGATTGTAGCTCTGATGTGTTTTGTGTTTTTTTTTTTTTTCCCCTGGAGTACACTCCTAAAATCTGTTACATTTCATACTGGGGTACTTCGAAGTTTTGCAACTTTTAAAGGGTGTTGTGCCTAAAAAAGATGAACACTTTTCTAGAGCATTAACACTGTTTAAACCCACTGTGATTCAATGACAATATATGAAATATTCCAACGGGGTGAATATTTTTATAGGCATTTTGTATTGGTGTTTTGTATGTATGTAGATTAAAGCCTGTAAACACCTTTTTAATGTTTCATGTACATATGGAGCCCTAAATACCTTCAGTGCCCTAAGGTGCAAATGTTCTGTTAGGGCTGTTTTGACACTTAAAATGTAATCTTGTTAACATTGCTGTTTAGAATGATGCATATGTGATGGGGCACCGTGTTCACTAGGTACTCAAAGTAATTGCTCAAATTGCGAAACTAGGGAAGGATTCAAATGAAGTATAAGAAGGAGGCAGGAATGGTTGCCAGTGGAAACTACACTGTTTACATCATTGCAAATTTTACTGTTTTCCTGGACCATTTTAAGGCATGCATTCTTATTGGGCCAAGCAAATAAGACTATCTGAAGGAAGACTGTACATTTTTAGGGGCCTATTATGTTACCCCTTATTGCATTGTAGATCTGAAAGGAAGATTTTGGTTGCATAGATGAATGGTTCTATCCTAAACACTTTATACATAAGCCCTGCTGCTCTGTTTCCTTGTGATAATTTCGGAAGGGGTGTGGAAGGAAGGTGTTGTAATGAGTACACCAAAGCTGAGAACATGCTGAATAATAACAGAACCATGAACCATTGAAACCCATCCCAGGGTAACTCAATCTGAAAAATATTCAACATTTGATACCCCCAAAGATAGTTTGGTTGTTAGCAGCTTTAGAGGTTTCAGCAAATGCTGGAAATGGGCTGGGTTGTGGAAATGCGAAGCCAGTCACTGACTTCAAATGATTTCCATTGGGGATAAGAAATTCCTGTTTCCTTATCTTAACATAAGTATTTTTATACATTCTTCCCAATATTTTGTTTGCCTGGTCTTTATTGTTGGCTGATTGGCACTATGATTTATTCTATTAGATACATTTGGCTGTTCCCACTAGTTTACAGAAAGTGGCAGCAGTAGGAGAGTCGATCTAGTTTATTTTTAACCTAAAATCATTGCTTTGATTGTATTGGCACAGCCCGCAGTTCTACCTTTTTTTACCATTTTAGTATGGTTGTTCAAAGACAGTTTGGAGGCAATTCCAGAGGCAATTTGGCTGGCAGCTAGAGAAGTCCTTATGAGATGCATTTGACTGGTCTCCATACTCTCAAATAGAATTTATTTTTTTATGTTTAATCAAACACACAGGTCAATGTTTTTCAGTCTTATTTTTCTAATTATGCCTTTTCTCTGTTCAGAATGGAGACAAAATATTCAGGCTTTCTTAGAGTGTGTGAATACCCTAAAAGTCAAATTGCATAAAGTGCTCCTTTTTTAACTGCTGCATGTAATACTGAAAGTTTTTTTTCCTTTTAGCTTTTAATAGAGCCGTGTTAATCGCATGTTATTCCTGCCAGTTTCCCCTCAATAGTACATAGGGGAGAAGCTAGGTAGTATTTTTAAGAAAAGCACCTAAAAATGTAAATATATATATATTATGTGTGTGTATATAAAATTATTATTGCCAAAAGTATTGTGACACCCCTCCAAATCATTGGATTCAGGTGTTCCAATCACCTCCATGGCCACAGGTGTATAAAATCAAGCACCTAGGCATGCAGACGCTTCTACAAACATTTGTGAAAGAATGGGTCACTCTCAGGAGCTCAGTGAATTCAAGCGTGGTACCGTGATAGGTTGCCTCCTGTGCAATAAGTCCATCTGTGAAATTTCCTTGCTACTAAATATTCCACGGTCAACTGTTGGTGGTATTATAACAAAGTGGAAGCAACTGGGATAAGCAACACAGCCACAGAAAATTACAGAGCGGGGTCAGCACATGCTGAAGCGCAGACGTCGCCGTCTGTCTGCAGAGTCAATCGCTACAGACCTCCAAACTTCGTGTGGCATTCAGATTGGCACAACAGTGCATAGAGAGCTTCATGGAATGGGTTTCCATGGCAGAGCAGCTGCATCCAAGCCTTACATCACTAAGTGCAATGCAAAGCGTCAGATGCAGTGGTGTAAAGCACGCTGCCACTGGACTCTAGAGAGTTGGAGACGTGTTCTCTGGAGTGACGAAACGCGCTTCTCTGTCTGGCAATCCGATGGATATGTCTGGGTTTGGCGGTTGCCAGGAGAACAGTACTTGCCTGACTGCATTGTGCCAAGTGTAAAGTTTGGTGGGGGGGGGGATTATGGTTTGGGGTTGTTTGTCAGGGGTTGGGCTTGGCCCCTCAGTTCCAGTGAAAGGAACTCTTAAGGCATCAGCATACCAAGACATTTTGGAGAATTTAACTCTCCCAACTTTGTAGGAACAGTTTGGGGATGACACAAATAGGCAGGCGTCCCATGTGTGTGTGTTCGCGTGTGTGTGTGTTCGCGTTCATGTTCTAATTTAAAAAAAAATTAATGAATGCTTTGTTATTTGGAACATGCAGTATAACAAATCTAAAATAGCTGTTCATTCCAATTTGGCTGCAGAAGTGGAACTACTCTGTAAGCTAAGAAGTGGGGCCCTAAAGCCAACTGGGGATGTCTTAACCCTCCGCAACTTCACAGAAAATGACAATGTGCCATGGATTCACCATGTCCACAGCCCTGACCCTGCAGACAATGGGAGAAAGAAAGCATGGTCCCATGACAATATATTTATTATTTTTAATACAGAACTATGCTAATAGTATTCCTAGATTTAATCTTTCGAGGTAGTGTGGTCTACAACCCCAGTGCATTTATTTATGTTTTATTGCTGTCTATTTCCCTGGGATGATTCACCCTCTTTGTCCTGGTAACCATTTCCACTGGAACTGAAAGTGATGGAATATGAACAAAACAAAAATTAGGTCCCTGGAACAGAAAGAGGGAAATGTTCTAGGGGGGACACTTGTTCTGGTCTCTCTTAAAAGATGTTTCCATTACTTTTATAGAAATTTCCTCCTCACTCCCTGTTGTGTTTTGCAAAATTTCTTTTGGCATTACTCTATAATCCCCTTTTATCTTAATTTTATAGAATTAAAGCAACCTTGTAGCAATATTAACTATGCCAAATATAGTTTTTACATATAAAATACATTTTTATATTTACCTCTGCTGCTGCCCAGGCCAATGAACTTGCAACCCTAAAAAACAGTTTCCTGAAGTCCACTGGGAAACTGACACTTCTTGAGTGTCAAACACCTTATTACCACTAAGTGCTGCAATGATATGGAGGTCATCCGTAGGAACCTGGTGAGGGCTGTGGGAGACCTAGGAGAGCTGCATTTGCAGAAGTATTTCCACGTGGACCTCAGGGGAACATGCCTCAAGATTTACAGCTCGGACAACAAGAGATGTGAGTCTTCTTATGTAAGACTTGATTTGGCATATTTAATATAAAATCAGGATCACTTTTGGTGTAGTCAGATTTGACAGACATTTCTCCAAGCTTCTGGGAGAGATGACCACCTCTTTGATTCTGTGCTGTGCTTTAGTGTATATGGGGATACAAGAGACTAACTTCTCTTATTTGCTCCATTTTGGCCTGTTAAGCATTCATTGAAAGTGTTTTTGTTATATCTGTTTTATGAGTACTAAAAATACCTGTTGATCATGTCAGAAATTCAGAGCTGTCCTGTCTCTTTTGCGCACTTCCTATGTTATCTCAAGGAGAGTTCTATGCACTAGTAGTCCTTATCTTGGTGTCTATGTAATGGAGATGGGAGGGTTTGAGTAGTTTAGCAAAAGAGAACTGGGCAGGACAGTCACCACTCAGTGCACAAAAACAAGATTTTGGAGCTGAGTGCATTTACACATTGCTGAAGTCTTTAAAGGGATAAAACATGGGGAATTGTTTATGTATTGCAGGGATGTATATAATAATAGTAAAAACAATTATCTTTTTATTTGATATTCTTTTTTTTCTTTTTCGCCTAGCATACACTTTATAAGGGACAATTTGTAAATCCGAAACCGCAGTCATACTACTGCTTTAAGAACAATACCCTGGCATTTTTCTAAAACGGTGTTGTGCTTTTTGATCACTTACTTTGAGACTCTAAAACCCCATTAATTAGGACTAGGGGAAAAAAGTCCCTTGACAGGTCATGTGATTGGGCTCTCCTCCTAATCAGAGTATTCTCTTTCGAGAACATGCCCAACAGACACCACAAGCTTCACGTTTTATCAATGAAACTTCTAATGCAGATGCAGTGCTGTGATGCCGTACTGAGAGCGGTATCCGTTCTGCGTTCTAAATTGTTCCCTTAAAGATCAGGATACTATTAACTAACTAGAGAGATTTAGCCTGGTGGGTAAAAGGTAAATGCCAGGAATAAAAGTCGAGCCAGCTGGTAGGTAGACTGTTTTTTTTTTTCCTCGAGTTATTGTAAAGCAAAGTTTTAATGTTAGACTGGAAAATAGCTTTAAGATTTGTAAGAGATGCATTTTATGTTTTTTTTTTTTTCTGCAAACCCAAGTGTACATTGTAAAATTTGTTTCTAATGGTGTGTGTTTTTTGTTTGTTTTTTTCCCCCATTTTAATTTCTATAGAATGCTGAGGCCTTCTCTGAAGGCAGCTATCCATTTTCCCATGGTGAAAGACCGGAGTATCTGGATGACCAAGCAACACACCGGTCTCTCCCCAAACATCGTTTTATGACCGATGGACACTCCCCTTTACAAAGAGATGGAACAGGATCTTTCCTTCTGGATCTTCCAAACTTTCCAGACCTCTCCAAAGCAGACATTAATGGTCAGAATCCAAACATTCAGGTAAAATTAAGCACTTTAAAACTTTTGTAGTCAAGACATGCCAGATCAGTGTTGCCATAGCTCATAACAGCATGTACTCAATGCTCCCAATATACAGAGAAGGCAAGTTCATGCAAATAAATAAGGGGGGAGAAAATAAATATATATACATATATTTTGCATAGAAATTGACTACAGCTGCTAAAATGGTTACATGCTTCATCTAATATTAACCTAACAGTCTATTTACATGGTTGTCTAGAACCGGGTAGAGGTGATCCTGGAGTCGCACTATACTCGCCACTCTTTTCTTTTTTTCCAAACATTTTATTTTGACATTTCCTGTTCTTTATGATGTTTTGATAGGGAATTATATGATTAACAAATTTCTACCAGAACGTGAGTGTAGGCGGTCTAAAGTTCATCCATCTCCAAAGCTATTGCCTTACAGGCAAGGAAAAGTACTTCTCAAACGAAAGTTCTAACATAATGAGACCATTGTTCCTCAGCTAGAAGTCAAAATAAACAATATTCAACAGTTAGAGGAACCTCAAGTTTTAGAAATTCCAAAAGAATGGAATTCCCATGGTGCCAGAAGCTAAATATAAAAACATCCCCAAACTGTAGTATTAATCCAGATTGTGGTTGATGTCCAAACAAAAAAGGACAATGTCCACACAAAGAATAGTTTTACACATTCATTCAGCTAGATATTTATTAATACATTATACCGTTATATTTAAAGACGAATACAGGATGTGAAATGGCATTTTCCTTCTCTCCTCCTCACCCCACCCTTAGTTCCAGGTGGAACTTCAGGTTGAATGTTCATAATACAGATGTAAGACCAGTATTAGATACTACAACTGAAAAGTGTACAGAAAAAAAAATTGTATTTACAAAGGCCAAGTTTTAAAGAGTAACATTCCCCCCTTGACTATTCTAAGATGGCGTGGGTGTTACATCTATCAAGATGGCAGGTGGATATAATGTAACTGATATTCTCAGCTGACTTTGCCCTAGACATGCATACTAGATGTCACTATGTTCTGCACATGCGCACTGCAGTGAAACGATCGTGAACAGGAGGAGTTTCACTTCCATGCTCCTGAATGGCTGTTTTCAATATGGCTGTAAAAACCTGTGTCTGTGTGGTGGTATGCAGTTTGTACTCCCATATTGTGATGACCGAAACCTGCCAACGATATCATGCATATGCATGATCACTACCAAGCATGTGAAGTATTTTGCTGCCATATTGGTGGTAGCGTTTTAGGAATGTGGGAGTGAAACCAAATTTGACTTTACTACTCTGTCCCCTCTGCCATCACCCTGCTACAGTACATGCCCAACCACCTACCCCCACTCTTGGCATTTTCCCTACCCGCTTAAGGACTCTGCCACCCCTCATGCTCTCACCACTCTGCCACCGCCACCCACCCTGGCTCCCCTCCCTTACAACTCAACCACCACCACTCTTACCACTCTTTCACCCACTCCTGCCCTCACCCCCTACACACACACACTTTTGCTATGGGAATTATTTGAATTTAGCATGGCTGCACAGCCATGCCCAGCTATATCATCAAGGTTTGGGATAATTCACTACAAAATAAGGTATGAGGCCCTTCTCTGACTACTTAAAGTGGGGTGTGTGTGTTTTTTAAATTAAAGCTTGAGCCACTGAGTTCTGTAAAAAGGTTTTACATCCAAGAGAAGGGATGGCCTGGAAAATTGAAAAGATGTTTGTTTAAAGACAAGTCCTTTTACCTGTGTTCCAGGGCATTATTTTGCTTCCTTAGCAAAGCTTCCATGTACCTTCTCCTGCAGCATTAGCCTCTGAACTAGAAAACATGACAAGTCAGGATGCTCCCTGTTTAATGTCTGACCTCTAAGACATGAAAAGATCAGTAGTAATAATAATTCACTGTCACCCAGCCGTGGATTGCCAAATGTCTGCTACTGAAACTTCACATGAAAGGAGCCGGAGGTGTGATTTATCTGTTGTTCATAATCTCTTCTGACTCTTGGCATAATTATTGAATTATAAAAATTTCACATACGTTTAGTGAATACATGGATAAGGTGCAGACAACCTCAAACCATTAATCTATCTATATCTCATTTGACTAAATTGAAATTAAGACTGATGCTATTGAAAGAGTGTGTATAAAAGATTTAACAATTTTATTTAGGAAATGTTTTATTTATTTAAAAAAAATCCTTTTTTATCATCTGCATGAGGTTTAGTTCAGTTTTGTTTAGTTTTTTTGCTTAGGGCCTATACAGAGAGGCATCATTACATAGTTTTTGCGATTTGGCAATGCTGAAAAACCCCTTGCGTCAATATGTATAGCGTAAGCTTTAATGTGTGTCCTTGAGAATACTGACTTCACCCACAAGATGTTATCTGTGATATTTTCAGCCATTTGCTTTGTCTTCCCAGGGCTTTGCTCTACCACCTGAAGAGCATAAAAAGCTTAAAGTTAAAGCTTGTCAATACTTCGTCTTAATGAATGCTGCTTGTCTGAGCCCTCCCTGCCCAGCACCTACTATGTTGTAGATCATTTTCTACCTGGTTCTAACAAACTCGGCTCGAACTAACAAGATAAGGAGTAGACCCGAGCTGGTGCGTGTTTTTTTTTTTTCCTCTACTGCAGTTAAGTAACACTTGCAGGTTTTATACCTCCCCCAGCTTGTGACTGGACATTGAAGGAGAAGCGGCACACTGATGAGCTCATCTGTCACACTGCTTTCCATGTTCCTTGTTGGCAGTAGAACTGACTGACTTCTTTATTGATAACTTTAGGTAGATATCTTTACTGATATAATCTTGTGTATATATATTCCTTGAATGTTATGTTGTCTTTCTGCTGGTCTGGCGGCTGCTGTCTTAAAAACTCTGTACAGACTGCTTGTTTACTTCCACTGACGTCAGTAACAGGTCATTTTGTGATCTGTGTGGGGTACCAGTTATGACAGCTGTCTTGAGTCTGTTTGCAGTGCAGAGCCCCCTGCTAAATGGTTAACACAAGTAGAATGCCTTGCCTAAGATCTTTATACTGACATAGGTCATGTCTCATTTCTTATCATTTTTTTTCCTCTTAATTCTGTAAATAAGCAGTTGACTGAAAAAGACTCTGAGTTTGTAACAGCTGCCACATTGCCATAGATTTCATCTACAAAGAACTGCTTTTTGTTTTTGTGCGTGGAGTAAATTTTTAATTCTTTGGTGGTCCTTACTGCATTACCATGGAACTACACAACTCTTATCTATACTGTCAGTTATTGGTTGTGTATGTTTCCATCTGACTATAAAGCCCATGAGGGGGGAGGTTATCAGTTTTGTATTGAGGCAATACTGGAGCAGTGATTTTAACACCAAAGCTTGATTCATACATTTTCCCCTCTGCCGTTTAAAAAAAAAAAAAATTGCACTCTGCCAATTTTACAAGAACATATAGTTTTATGTTCTTATTTTTTTATAGTTTTATGTTCTTTATAAAGTTTTTTTTTTTTTTTTTTAAACCACTAATATAAAATTTTGCATATTAATGTTTTACATTTTAACCATTTTCTGCCTGGAGCAATTTCTTATGTGCACGCATGATAAAAATCAGACTTTTTGGCTAGAAAACAGCTTCAGACCCCCAAACAATTATCTATTTTCTGAAAACAGAGGCCCTGTAGAATTAAAAGATGCTAGTTGCAATTTTTTATGTCCCACGGTATTTGTGCAAATGTTTATTAAACAAGTATTTGTAGGATAAAATACACTAACATGAAATTTAGTGCACAGAAACGGAATCCAATGCCCAATTTTTTGGTAAAATATAAAAGATGGGGTCGCGCCGGGTAAATAAATACCAAACATGTCGAGCCTTAAAATTGCGTGCATCCATGAAACCGCAAAAAACTACAATAACCAAAATTTTCCATAGGCAATGCTTTAGACGCTTTTACGGTTCATCAGTTTAGTGCTAACATTGATGGGCCTAGAATTATTGCTCTCACTCCGATGCTCGCGACGATATGTAACATGTGTGGCGCAAGTATTTGTTTTTGCAGATAGGTGCATCTGACATGTGTTTGCGTTGTATGTGCGTGCACATGGGGTGTGGGGGACTTATAAAAAAATAGCAAATTTTTTTTTTTTTAGTTCTTTTAATTTTTGCAATTGTATTTATTTTATCTTTTTTTTTACCCTCCGCTTTTTTGCTATTGCATAAAGGGCTAACAAGCCCCCTATGTAATAGCAAATGTGACATGTCCTCTTTCTGGAGACATCCGGGGGTGAAGCAGAGATCTGCTTTATCAGCTTCTTCTGGCTCTGGGAGCCAGAGATTGTGCACAGTGACACCAGAAGTGATGTAATGCACATCACTTCCAGGTCCAGTGATCCAGCCATGGATCTCTCCTCCGATCTATCAGGGGAGACCCTCCACGCCGGTCCTGGGCTCACATGGGGGACAGTGGAGCCCGGGAAGCCGAGGGGGGGGGGAGGGACACAGCTCTGCACCGTACAAGCGATCCGGCGCCTGTATTGACGCCGGATCACTTGTATTTAAACACCAATCACTGGCTGTTTAAAACTGTACCAAGAACTGGGCTGCAGTAGCAGCCCGGTTCTTGGTATAACCACTTCCAGCGGTGGATGTACATTTACGTGAGCCTGCTGGAAGTGGTTAAGTCAGCAGGTGAAGATTTTGGCTCCTTTTTTTTTCTCATGATTTTTGGTATCCCTTCACCAGCTGATATGAAAGCCTCTTATAGAGGTCAGTAGCTCAAGCTGCAATTTACACACAAGTGAATGAGCAGAGTTGCTCATCCACCTCACTTTCTCTCTTTTATATGGCCTAATCTGACATTTAAATGAGACCATATCTAAAAAGGGACAGCTACTGCTATACTGTTTCTTCAGATGACCCATAGTGCTTTTTGTTATCCTTTGTTGTGAATTGATTGTTTTAAATAAAGACATAATCAGGATTATATAGCAAGCAAAATAAATAGATTAGCCC